AGTTGTTGGATTCAGAGGCAGAATCCAGGACAAAAGCATATACACTAGGGCAGTGGTTCTCAACCTTCCTAGTGCTGTGACCCTTTATTTAATACAGTTCCTCATGTGTGATGACCCCCAAACAAAAAAATTATGTTCATTACTCCTTCATAACTGTAATTTTGCTACTGCCGTGAATTGTAATGTAAATATCTGTGTTTTCCAATGTTCTTAGGTAACCCCTAAGAAAGGTTCACAACCCACAGGGCATGTGGGCAGTTGTTGTGTGACTCCTGGGGGAGTCATTCCTGCCTACACTTGTATTGCTTAGAAAGCTTTTATAAAATAAGATGTTTGCCGGGCGGTGGTGGTGCATGCCTTTAACCCCAGCACTCGGGAGGCAGAGGCAGGCCTCTGTGGCTTTGAACTCTGTGAGTTCTACAAGAGCTAGTTCCTGGACAGCCTCCAAAGCCACAAAGAAACCCTGTCTAGAAAAAAAAAACAAAACAAAAACAAAAACAAAATTGAAAAATAAAATAATAAAATATTCATGCTGCGATGAGACCAATCTGAAAATATGGGACTGAATGGTCTTTGGCATTTGTAGGAAGTCCCCAAGGCTGTGCTTCCACCAAGGAGGACTGAGAATCACTGTGGTTCCTGATGGCTTACTACCGTAATGTACTGTTTGTGGACCTGGATGCTTCTCCAGATGACCCACCCCATGAGCCCCACCCACAAAGTGAAGGTGGGCTGTTACTAAAGCCATTGTGTGCATTGCTGACCTTCTTGACCTGGTGGCCAGAGCCTGATAAGCTGGCCCTTTCTTTCCTTTGAAGGAATTCATGTCACCCAGGGGCAGGAATGAGTCTTGGTTTGGATTTGATAGCCCTGCTTGCCTGCCCATCACTAGAACAGCTCCCCGTACACATGAACCTTTGCCCACACATCTGTCTTATCTCAGGACTTGCACGGAATTAAGGAAAGGGCTTGCATTTTTGTAACATTCCTAATTCCTTAGCATTTCTTGGAAGAAGCAGATTTACTGTAGCCTATGGTAGGCATATAGGGAAAGAAGGAAAGAAATCCACAAGTTCCCACTGTGAAAGTATTACAGCCCACTTAGACCTGCTTGACCTGCGTAGGTCAGCGGACCTCAGTGGCAGGATGACTGCTGGCTCAGGGAAAGTTGGCAGGTTTACAGTTAAGGTGTAGTGGGTAGAAGATAGGGGGCATCCCAGCCAGCCAGGAAATGTGTAAATATGGGCTAAGGGTTCCCAGACATGCACAAAGGGTCTCAACACCCATTCATCTCATGGGCAGACTGCTCTGTGAATGACCAACAACTAAGCTGCCTCCAAGACAAATTTCCTGTTTCCTCCTTGACATATTTGTCTGTTGCTTGCTTAGCAGAACCCCTCGTATACTAGTTTCATTGTGTTGCCATTGTACTTCAAGTCTCTGGTGGCCTTTCTGTTTAAAAAACACCATCCTCATTGAGCTCACAACACCAGGCACCTGCACTCAAGGAAAAGCTCTACCTTTAGAGCCAGTTGGGACTGTTGACAGTGAGCAAGGGGAGATGCTAATGACTGGCTACAGGCATATGGTGTGTGTGTGCGTGTGTGTGTGTGTGTGTGTGTGTGTGTGTGTGTGTGTGTGTGTTTGTGTTCATGCATGCCCATGTGAACACACACACCACCGTGTGTATGCAGAGGTCAAAGTACAGCTCTCAGGCATTGTTTCTCTCCACCATGGGCTTCAGGATCCATCTCAGGTAATCAGACCTGTGCAAGACCATTGTATACCCAACATCCATCTCTGTGATTCTTCTTCAGTACCTTAAACTTTTTCCCTTGCTACATCCCCTCACACAAAGAAAAGCCTACTCTACACAAAGGAGCATTCTGGGAGTCCAGTATTCCTCCCTCCCCTGGGACATCAAGCCTGTTTTTAAGGAGAGTTGGTTGATATTTCTGCCTGTGTTTAGGATCTTTTATCTTGAGGGTGATGTAAGCATGTATGAGGATCAGTGTGAGGAAATGGACTGCTGTGTGGAAGGCTCAGGCTTGTCTTGAGTTCCTCAGATCCACCTGTCTGTGCTGTTTTTACACGGGTGCTGGGATTTGAACCGCAGTCCTCATGCTTGCAGAGCAAATGCTCTTACCCACAGAACTATCTCCCTAGCTCACATCCTTTTTTTTCTAACCAGGTGGCCCTAAAAGTGACTGGGTGACGTCAATTTGGGGTTATATGGAGAACATACCGTTTTCTTGATTATAGGAAATAACAGACACAAGCCAGCTGTAGACATCTGGATGTTTCTGAAATCACATGGGACCCTAAGTGATTAATGTATGTGAAAAGTTCTTGTAATGTGTCAGTGATTACATTAACAGATGTAAGGATGGTTTGGAAAAATACATTGCCACTTTCACACCTTTCAACATGAAGTCACTTGCATGAGAAAATCAAGAACACACTGCAAATAGGTGTCAAAATTTTTGCCTTTCTTTTTAGGTTTTTTGTTGTTTGGCTTTTTTTTTTTTTCTTTTTTTTTTTTTTTTTTTAGGTTTTCAAGACAGAGTTACTCTGTGTAGCAGTCCAGGCTGGTCTTAAACTCACAGAGGTCCTTGTTCCTCTGCCTCTGCCTCGGGAGCCACCACCTCCTGGCCTAGATGTCAGAATCCTGTGAACTGGTGCCTGATGAAGGTTTTGCATGTGCGCCCACCTGGTGCCCTGTCTGCCTGTGCCCAAAAATGGACAGATCCTCAGAATTTCTATTTACTTGACACTTTTTAAGCAAAATAATAAGAAAACAAACATTAGTTTTTAACTATTATCTAATGTCCAACCATCTTTTTTGGAAATATTCTCTAATGACATGGAAACAGTTATTTAAAGTACATTTTTAAGAGGCCATGAGTTTGTGGGTCTGGAGAGATGCCTCAGTGGTTTAGAGCACTTGTTGCTCTTTCAGAGGACCCGGGTTCCATTCCCAGCACTCACATGGTGGCTCACAGCCATCTCTAACTCTAGATCCAGGGAATCTGACACCTTCTGAACTCTCTGTGCACCAAGCACACATTCTCAGATCTACACATGCAGGCAAAACACCCATACATGTAAAATATTTTTTTTAGAGCCATGAATTTGTAAGAGAACAAGGAGGGGTATTTGAGAGGTACTAGAGGGAAGGAAGTGAGGGGGGAATGGTGGAATATAATTTCCAGAAATAAAAGAAATAATTTTAAAAAACGAAATACTGCCAGGCGTTGGTGGTGCACGCCTTTAGTCCCAGCACTCAGGAGGCAAAGACAGTTGGATCTCTGTGAGTTCGAGGCCAGCCTGGTCTCCAGAGCGAGTGCCAGGATAGACTCCAAAGCTATACAGAGAAATCCTGCCTCAAAAAAAAAAAAGAAAAGAAATACTTTTTTGAAAACAATCATCCTTTTTTCTTTCTTTGAAAATCAGGAGGGCTACACAGAGGGAAAATGTGATTTTCATAGTCTTTAAAATAAAATGTTAAGCATTCATGTTTCTTCTAGAAGCTGTTTTGCAATCTTATCTAAAACTTTCCTAATCTCTTATGAAGACAAGACATGGATTAAAAAAAAATATGTTAGCTCTGGCCACCACCAAGCCTGATATCTGAGTTCTGTCTCAGGTCTCTATGGTGGAAGGAGAGAACCGACTTCCACAAACTGTCCTCCGACCTCCACATACTACCTCCTAGGACACATGCCCACCTGCATACACACAAAACAAATAAATGCAATAATTTTAATTTAAGAGTTAGTCCATGAAAAAGTCTGTTTGGGCTTAGATAATTCACATCTGTATATCTTACCTAAGCCCTTCTGCATCCGTACCCCTCTAGCCTCTCCCCCACCAAGCCTTGAATCTTGTGCTTAGTCATTGCTGCTTTCATCAGTACACTAAAATGACTCAAGAAAACAACCTTTCAGATGCTCTTTCAGTTGGGTATCAAGTTGGAAATGCACAGCTTGTTTGCTCCTTGGTGTGCCCGGTCACGGTATTCCTACCTACCTTGATGAATTAAAGTTTTTAATTGAAAGGACAAAGAAAATAATAAGTTAAAATTAAAAACAAAAACCAAAAAGGAAAAAAAAAACATTGGAAACCTTCACGTTTCTGTAGACAAAAGCAATATGATGTGTGTATTTGTAATAGTGGCCACCAGACTGACATCTGGCTTAATGAAGATGGGAATCTGGGGTTGATTAGGCAATGTTGAGACTTCTATAAAGTGAATAGCCTTAAGTAACCAAGCACTCTAATGGCCTGAAGAAGGTGGGAAGAGGAGTTGAAAGGAATATTCTTTGTGCAAACACAGAAACTAATTAATGTGTCCAGGACCACCGCTGTGAGTCAGTTTTAACAGGATTGTAAATATGTGCTTGAGTGAGTTTTAACACAGTGTGTCAGCTGCTCTTGGCCTCTCCGTTTATCAATACTATCTACAAGATGTTTAACCACAGGGAAGTGGAGTCTTTATTAGGCAGTTAGCCTGCCAAGATGCTGGGATTTGGTGACATCATACCCTCAGTTTCCTGAGGCAGCCCGTGACTCTCTCCTACTGATGGATGAATACCTCTCGGCTCCTAAAGGCATTTGTCCTAGTCTTTGGCTATTAAAATTCCCAGTCCCCAGGCGTCACAAGGGCTGTGACTATGCCAGGTCAATCAAGTTCTACTCTAGGTATAAGGGTGTTTCTGGTGGGTTGTTGTTGAAGCAGAAGATAATAGACCTTGTTAGACCAACCGAACTTCAAATTAGTTACTCATACACTCATACTGCTTTGTGCTTTGGAAGCGTGTCTGGAAGCAGCGCTGAGTAACTGCTGGGAGCCCATCTTGGATTTTGTTTGTTGGTTTTGATTTCTGCAGCACTGGGGATCAATCCCAGTGATACAGAAGTTGTATTTTACTTGTCTGATAGAATCAGTTTATTAATGCAGGAAAGCATGGCTAACAAACTCGTCTTCTCTTTGTTTCTAGAAATTGAAGCCAAGGAAGCTTGTGATTGGCTGCGGGTAACTGGATTCCCCCAGTACGCACAGCTTTATGAAGGTAAGGCAGGATGCCATCTTATTTTAAGTCAGCATAGTCATAACACGGACTTCATGGACCTAGGAGCTATTTAGAGACGTTTTGTTACTTTGTTAAATATTTCATTTTTAAAAATAATGGGATAGGTACCCAAGACTCCCACCATTCAAAACAAAAGAAACCAGGACCTTGGTAATAAGAGTCGTCTTGTCCCCCTGCAAAGAGTAGCCCATGTCCCAAAAACACTTAGTGGTTTTTGTGTTCTCATTTTCTGTAATTTTGTTGAAGTTCTTGAAAGGTATATTTTATGTAAAGTCTAGTTTTGCAAAAAATAAAAAAAATGGTATTGTGTATATTTAATCTGTTCGGATAATACTGTATAATACTATATTAAGGTTCCTCTAACCTGTGTTTTCCTGTGGCTCATTTTCTTTGACTGCTATATAATACTCCATCAAATGGACTGAAGATCATTCAATCTCTATTCTGGTTGTTGGACATTTCAGTAGTTTTATTTTTGGAAACTGTTATTTTTGAACATTCATGTGCCTATCTTTTGTAACACATGCAGAATCATTTAACTCGCACGAGCCCAGAAATAAGATTTCTGAGTAATAACAGGAGATGCCCATACTCTATTTTGTAGTGCACATTTTCCCCACAGTGTGTGCTCTAGCTTTCCCAGTACAAACCATAACAGAAAAAGAAAAGTAAAGTAAAAAGAAAAAGGTCACTGGACTAGTTTGCATCCTTTGTCTCTGTGATAAACAATATGACCAAAAGCAACTTGCAGAGAAAAGGGTTTATTTCATCTTGACAACTTACACCTGGAAGGAGGAACTAAAGCAGAGTCCATGGAGGAGTGCTGCTTACTGGCTAGCTTCCTTACAGTACTCAGAATCACCTGCCTAAGGGCGCCCCTGCCCACAGTGGGCTGAACTCTACCAAATCAATCATTAATCAAGAAAATACAACCCAGACTTGCCTACAGGCCATCTGATAGAGGCATTTTCTCAGTTGTGGCACTCTCTTCCTACATGACCCTGGCTTGTGTCAAGTTGACAGGGTGCTAGCTAGGGACAGAGGAAAGAGCAGTCATGTCTAACTGATTCTTGTAGTTTTGTGTTCTGAGATGAATTAGCTGTTCATATGAGAGACTTATCTGTATATGAAATTAGTTTATAATAATCACAGGTTTGAAATAGTGAACTCCATTTTATAGATAATTTTCATTTTTTAAATTTAAATTTTTTACTTCAATTTTTTTTATACAATATATTTTGATCCTGTTTTTTTCCCTCTGGCAACTCCTCCCAGATCTGCCCCACCTCCCTATCCACCCAACTTCATGCATTTGCCGGTGCTCTCTCCCCCCCTCCCCCCAGGCTCCTCTACTGAGGGGAGGGATTTGATGTCAGAGCAGGAAGTCAAGGCAGGAACCTGGAGAGAGAAACACTCATGTGTTTAGGGCTGAGTTTTCCAAGGTCTCTCACTCTCTGGCTGTGGGTCTCTGTATTTGTTCCCATTTGCTGTAAGAGGAAGCTTCTCTGATGATGGCTAAGCAAACCACTGATCTATGAGTATAGCAAAGTGTCATTAGAAGTCCTTTTATTGCTACAGTTTTTTTTTTTTTTTTTAAGAATTTTTGTTTAGATCAATAGTATTTGATTTTACCCAAGGTCCCTGAGCTCTCTACCCTCAGATTCTTGGTCACCCAAGCCGTGTTGGGAATGGGTTCCATTTCATGGAGTGGGTCTTAAGTCAAATCAGATCTTGGTTGGTTGGTTACCCCCATTTAGCAAGGATTGGCATTTACATTTTTCTTTTGGTAGTATACAAATACCAAAAACACTAAAACGTGGGGGTGAAGGCTCTCATTTTATAGATAATTTTATTTTCAAATCAAATCAAAGTGTGGAATGATTCCTAACATTAATACATAGTCTTCTGTAACACTCAGTGATAATTTATATTTATGTTCTGAAATAGTTTACTATCCCTGAATTTCACAGCATATATACAATTTTGCATTGTTCTTTTATTTTGATTTTTGACTCTATGCTTAACGTGGGGGGAGTTGCTTACCTTCAGACAGAACTTCTGACCTATTAAAGCGCTTTGGAGGTAGAAGCAGGAGCAGCTCTTGTTGCTTTTCTAATTTACAGCTCTCCTGATGCTTGGGAAAGGTAATTGGATTTGCGGTGGCCAGGCTTTTGTTTTCCACTTTAAGATTAAATTTCCCTCAATTATGTCCTTTTGGGGTGTGGATTCGATGCTGGGTGGCACCTTCTTGTGCCTGTTGGTTTTGGTAAATCCAATTTCCAGCCCCTGTCTTACTCTCACAGTCCTAAAATGCATGCTCCATCCTCTTGGTTGGTAGCTCCCCTACCCCACCTCCTGCACCTGTCCATGTCATTTGAAGCATAGATGTGTAAGATCCCCCGGAAAGCTCAGGCCCTTAGTGACTAAGATAAGGTCAGACAAGCTATGTGTTCGGCTGTTATGGCTGCAGAAATGGGGAGCTGGTCCCTTCAGATGGACTCTGGGATATGCTGTGCCATCTTCTGGACAATCTTTCCCACTTCATCCTGCCTCTATGCCAGGTGAACAAGCCACACATATTTGATAGTGTGGCTGCCCACAGACCCCACATCTTCCCAATAAACTCCATTTGGTGCCTGCCTATTTTCACTTCCTCCCGCTAAACTCAAGCTGGAAGTTCAGATGACTTCTACCCATCAGATCCTTCAGTGAACAATCTAGGCAAATAAGAGCTGCCTTTACCCAGTGGAATTTCGGAACTGTTGTCATGTTTCTATCATTCCTAGTAGTCTTTCTCCTCTCTACTCTGTTGGATGCGTTTGTCCACAGGCTTTCACTATAATTATGGATAGTCTGAAACCTCTATGTATACCATGCTGTCCTTAAATTCACAGAAACCTGCCTGCTTCTGCTGTGATTAAAGGCTTGTGCCATCATGTCTGGTAATTGAAGGGATTTTTATTTCAAAATCCTGGACCCAAGAAGCATATTAATTTTTTTCAATTTTCAGTTGACACGTAGTATTCGTATATATGTGAGGCATGGTGTACCATTATATTACATGTTTATATTATGTAGTAATCAGAACAGGGTAATCCACATAGCTGTCATCCCAAATATTTATTACTGCTTTATCTGGAGGAAACAGTCATAATCCTCTGTCTACTAGCCATTTTGAAAAATACAATCATGGTCATTCGTAGATGTCTTAGTAACACCATAGCTTTAGTCGTTATCCCTCCGAGCACCTGGTAAACAACCTTTCTCCATCCCTCACCTTCCCCTCCCCCTTGCAGACTCCCTTGTTCCCAGGCTTGTAACCACTATTTCACTGTCTACTGGCAGGACTCTCTTCAAGCAATACAGAGAAATTCTTCCTGCTTTCAGTGGCTCATTGTTCTGAGAGCACTGGACTCTCACAGATTGAGGGGCTTGGTTGTCATTGTTTTACAGTATCTGTATAGTCCTTTGTTTTACCGGGAGTTAACCCATTGGCCATCATATGCAAGGGCTAAGATTTGTTTTAAAATAGCATATCTTGAATTCTCTGCATTGTATCCTATCATGTAAATGGACCAGTCCCTCCAGCTGCCCTTTGCCATTGTTCCCTGAATCTTTCCTGGCCCTGGTCCTGTTTTGTTTTGGGGTTTGCTTTTGTTTTTCTTGTGGCCCCTTCCCAGATGACACATGAGCAAAGACATTTTTTTTAAGTCTCATTACAAAGGAGACTCCTTACTGGATTCATTCTGGCTTAAATTATAACTTACAGCAGGCATTCACTGCCTGGTAATTAGCTTAAAGGTGGAGAGTGTTTTGAACCACTAAACAACTTGAGTTCCTAAACTACTTTAGAACTGGTTTCAATCACAAGTGGAATTGTTGCCTGCACCTGCATAGCTTGCCAGGGAAGGAGGACAATAGCTACATAATCTAACACATTGCCAAAAGAGGCTAATTTGGCAAGATCCTAGGCGCTCAACTGTACTTACTTTTTCTCCCTACAGATCTCCTGTTCCCTATTGATATTTCTCTGGTCAAGAGAGAACATGATTTCTTGGACAGAGATGCCATCGAGGCCCTGTGCAGGTAAACTGACATTTTCCTTTCTTTTAAAAACACAGTACTTGAATCTCAGCACTCAGCAAGCAAGGGCAGTCCAAACTGAGTTTAAGGCCAGCCTGGTGTAGAGAATAAGTTCCTGGATATCCAGAGCTACCCGGAGAGACCCTGTCTCAGGAAAAGAAAACATAAAAAAAAAAAAGATAGTCATCTCTCACACTTGGTTTGCTTTCAGTTTGATCCACATGAAGTCTTTGATGATCAAATGATACAATGATTTATGTTGCTGTGTTATGGAGTGGTGGATGAAAGCTAAAGTAAAATGCTTTTGTGTGATATATCATCGTTGAAATAGCATCCACGCTGTTGTCGTAGGCCCTCACATAGCACCGTCCCATATTTTGTTACCATCTGACGCAGAAACAATAAACTTTCTGGAGGTTGGCAAATGCAGACTTTCTAAGGAGTCAATGTCACTGACCGTGAACACCATGGAGTCAAAGCTGCCCCTGTACTGAGTGGAAGGAGACATTCAGTGGGGCGGGGCTTAGTAAAGCCAGCCAGGGATTTCATCTGAATTCCAAGGAGGCTCCTCAGAAGCCCCAGCCACCCCAGGTAGAGTGATGATAGGATTAAATAGGCCGTAAACTCACCGAGCACAGGCACTTTAATGTATGGGAGACAGGCAGTAAAGGGGCATTGGTGTGAACTGTGAATAAAGCTGTCAGAGGTCCTGTTCAGTGAGCTGGTAGCTCTCCAGGCTGAGAAGCAGCTTGTGGGATTTAGAGAAGTAAAAGTAATAAAACCTGAGGCTACAAGGGCCGCAGATAATCCTTTCAAACCCCGGATGACATTTTTATTCATCTCGCATTATTCATCCCTTGTAATTTTTCTCGAAACCGTTGAAAAGCCTTCATAGCCCAGGAACACATATACACAGACAGAACTCACATGTTGGTTGGATCCTAACGTTAAAATCAATTCTCTTTTCATTTCTAAAAGACCTTAATTGTGTGTGTGTGTGTGTGTGTATGCTTGGGGAGGCCAGAGGTCACTTGTCCAATACTCCTCAATTGTTCTTTGCCTTATCTTTTTGAGGCTAGGTCTCTCACTGAACCTGGAGCTCCAGTTCATCTAGACTGTTGAGCCAGTGGGCTCCAGTGCTGTGATGCCTGGCTTTTACCCGGATGCAGGGGATCCAAACCCAGGCCCTCATGCTTGCTGTGCCTGGCGTCCCCCTAATTTTAGTGTCTGTTTTAACTGGGAAAAACATCTTAAGTTGAAATGATATCTGGTGTTTCTTTTCCTGTGTAGATGATGAGCACAGTAACAGCTGTCACATACATACACATGCACGTACCATCCTTTCTTGTATAATGTTGTTTGAAGGGTAGTGTGGTTTTGGGAAAAGATAAGTTATATGTTTAGAGTATGGAAAAGACTGGATTTCGTCGATTATGAAAGAAAGAAAAAAAAAGCCATGTGTACACCCCCCCCCCCAAGAAACAGTGTGCAGCTGTAGTGAGAAGTGTCCAGGGCATGCACACACTTTTCTGGGAAAAGTGAGTTTGTGTCCTGGAGTATGTAATATCATCACTATGTCGTCTGGAATGAGAAAATGTCACCAGTGCAGTTTGGAGAGGGAGAGAAGTCAGCATCTGGAATCTGAACTGCCCCGGACATTGTAAAGATGTTTTCTCGCTTAGCTGGGTGGCAGAATTAATTTATTCTCAAGCCATCACTGATGCTAATGCATATGAATGAGGTCACTCAGAAAAGGCATCTTAGGAAATACTGGAGCTTTGTGTCAGATCACCCATTTCACACATGTTAAGCCACTTAGGGAGTTGGCCTTCTGAACTACATCAACCACTTAGGAATGTCTGGGTCAGAAAAATACCATTGCAGTAAGTATTTCAGCCCAAAGAGTTATGATTAAATTCTTGAAAAATTTTTTTTTTTTTTTTTTTTTTTTTTTTTTTTTTTTTACGAATTGTTCTTGAATGTCAGTTCAAAATCAACTTTTTCCTTTTTCGAAGGAAAAAGGCATGCTGCACAGTTTGGTTTCGCCAGCTGTGAATACCACCTAGGAGGAGACGCCACCTCCCAGAGAAGAGACTAGATCTGAACAAAGAAAGGCCTAAAGGAAACTGCTCCTTTACCTGTGTTCGAACTTGACAATGTATACTGGGTCAGCTTCAGTTTTCCCTTGTATAGACAAATATATCCCTTATAGATTAGGTGTGATAGTAAAAACAAGAGAAAAAAAAATCATCAAACCCAGTTTGGAGGATGTGTTTTTTTTTTTTTTTTTTTTTTTTTTTTTTTTTTTTTTTTTCCTTTTTTAATGAAATTTTTATTCATTGTGTAATAAGGGCTCACTGTCATCTCAGCTCTGGGGAGGCAGAGGAAAACATGGGAATTCAAAGCCAGACTGGGCTAAACAGCAAGATCCCTCCTCAAACAACTACTTTCTAATTAAAAGGGAGAGATTATTCAGGACCCATAATGATAGTCATCAAAATTTGGGGAGATGGAAAGCCTCAGGGCCTGTGTCCACGCAGTCACATAATGGCGGTGACTTTGGCCTTCAGAGAAGGAAATAGATGGGAGCTGTAGGCAGATTTCAAGACCCCCCCCCCCAATAGGTTTTCTGACATTCACTTTATTTTCTACATATGCGTACTGCAGAGACATCCTCTGCCTATGGAATTCCAGGCCCCTCAGATAACAGAGCTGTGGTGTGATTACAAACATCTCCTTTTGGCTTGTGATGTTGTCGGTGGGCAGACTTTTTGTGCACATCCGTCTTCCCCCACCCCCATTTAAACATTTAAGCAGATGAGTTGGAGAAGCTCAGTTGGAAGCATCACGTGCTCGCTCACATCACGTGCTCTCCCGTGAAGTAGGCCACATTCGATATGTAGTCGCACTAGCTTTCTACTTGGACAGAAAATATCCACATTCCTGTATTTGCAAGTCACACAACAGTTGTGATAAAAAGCTAAAAGGAGCTGATTTCTTGTAGTATTGGTTTTTTTGGGTTTTTGTGTGTGTGTGTTTTTTTTTTTTTTTTTTTTTTTTTTTTTACTCAGGGCAGAAGACTCTTAGACATAAAAGCAGGGATAGAATGAGGTTGAACACTGGTACCATCAAAATATAAACTTTAATAATGACCAAAAATTAAAATTATGAGACCGGTAGGCTACCCAACTTTTTTTTTTTCAGAGACAGGGTTTCTTTGTGTAGTTCTGGCTGTCCTAGAACTTACTCTGTAAAGCAGGCTGGCCTTGAACTCACTGAGATCTGCCTGCCTCTGCCTCCCAAGTGCTGGGAATAAAGGCAAGCACCACCGCCTGACTTACCCTTCAGGTGTTAGTCTAAGGTAGCAACGTACTAGTTCCCTTAAAGAGATTGGCTTTTCTGTCAGTCCTGCTGGCTTCACTAATATTCTAAACCCATTAAGAAAGCTATGACTATGATTATGGAAGAGTGCAGCTTGTCTCAAACCACATACTGACCATGCTGTAAAACTGTGAGCCATGCTGGGTACCCTTTGTCTTCCTGTGGCTTTAGAACATTCCACATTGCTGTTTTCCTTCAGAATTAAAACTGACTCCTTCTACCAACACATGAAAGAAATGTGACATTAGCTAGTAGTTGTCAAATGAAAAAAAAAAAAAAAAACTATGTAGTCTGTCACTGTCATCTTCAGTATGTACTTTGTCCCCAAGCCACCCATGACCTGTCAAAGCTGTCAAACAGCCTTCCAGAGGCATTCTGACCATGTTCCTCTTTCCATTCAGTTTAAAATGAAGCAAGTAATTGGGAGGAGGATCTTTATTGTGTAGCCCAAACTGGGCTGGAACTCAGCAATCCTCCTGCCTCCTCCTCCCAAATGCTAGGATGACACCCAGCAACAAATAATTTAATTTAAACATATTATGTATAATTCCAAGAAAATCTCTTAAGAATTGGGAGAATTTTTGTCAGGTCCTTTGTTTCCGTAGCATTTCTTCTGCTTTTTGTTTTAAATGCAAGGAGGCCCAGATCTCCATCTCTATCCTTTTATCTACATGCCTACAGCTCTGTGCAGCCAAACTCGTGAACCTTTGATAGTCCGCCCTTGGCTCCCTCTGTCTTTAGAGCAGACCCAAGTTACCCAGGAGATAAGACCCACACATTCCTTTGGTGTTGGGCCCTGGGCGGTGGCGGGTAGAATGCCCAAGGCTACAGATGGTTATTGATAACAGTATTTCAGCTGCTTACTTGAAGGATGCTACTTCAGCTCTACTTGGCTTTCATTTGTTACCATCATTAATCTTGTTTCAGAACCACGTGTAGAAGATGCTGTGTTTGGGCACCAGAGCCACTGTCTTTTAATCTTGGGTCCTGGGTCAAAATTCCTGAGTTCTCTGCACCCCCTTTCTTCCCTTATAAAGATAAGTCGCAGTGTCATTTCTAGGAAGATTGTCAGAGAGCTAACTATGAGCCACTGCATTAGAAGTGTGCAGCACAGTCCCTCACCCAGAGAGAGACAGTGGCAGTTCACCTAGCTAGAACCATTTTTTTTTAAATTCTTGATTAACATAACATGACTGTGTGGTAGCGTGTGATGTTTCCATACTTGTATGTAAAGTATGACCAAATCATGGGATTCACCTATCTACCACCTTGCACTTTTACCATTTCTTGTCTTGGGAATATTCAAGTTAGCCACTTTAAAATAAAGTAATGCTAACTGTAGTCACCCCATTATATCGAGTCCTTCTGTCTCTGTGCTGCATTCACTCCCTGCCCATTTGGAGCTCACTGTCCCTTGCCAACTTCTAGTGACCACTTTGTGTTCTCTTCTTTGAAATGAGTTTCTTCTCTGGTTAGAGCTACTGTCTTATGTCCCTATTGCCCTTCTAGAGGTATATAGGCCCTCCTCGCAAGCCTTTGGAGATCCTGGGGAATGCAGGCTAGTTAAGGGAAAATAAATGAAAACCACAGAAACCCTGAAAGTAACTTTTGCCTTCAGGAATGCAATGCCATTAGTTTGCTGCTACCAACCTAAAAAGATAAACTTGACCTATATAAAACTAACCTCCTGGGTCTTTTTTTGTTTGGCCCCAGTCTGGAGTTTGTGAAGTCGCTCCGCCTCCCCCACCCCCATAGGCTTCCATGCCTAGTAAATTTGGTTATAAACATCATTCAACCATTAAAGCCCAAATGGAGTCAAGTGGAGATTTGATTACAGGTTTGATTAATGAAACCCAGACCTAAGACTAACTGTAACCATTCCTCATTCTTGAAGCCTTGAAAAGATTGGGGGAGGGGGGCTGAAAATAGTGGGCGTGTCAATTAACTGATGTTCTTTAGAGAGGGGCCCCACACCCCTCTACAAGCCCACAGTGTTTCTCAGCTATTTTCATTCCCTCCCCATCCATGGAGAGTTTTCTGAACATTAGTGCCCTGCTTTATCTCTGTTTATTCTATAAACAGGCTTCCACATCATCTGTGGAACCAAAGGCAGGCTTATCGGGCTGCAGAAATACTGCCTGTCCCAGTACATCCAGGTTGTCAGATGAGTTACCAGAGCAGGATGGGGGAGATAAAGCCTGAGGAGTACACAGGATCAGTTTGAAATGGAAGGAATTAAGTGCTCTTTCTCCATGAAAATGGAAGGTTGCAGCTTGAGAAAGAAATACAGGACCGATTGGGGGGGGGGGTGGTTCACGAGGCTTAGGAGGTAGCAAACAGTTTCAAAGGGTCATTTAAAGAATCGGTGATGGTCATCTGGAAGGTATTAGGAAGAACCAAGGCCTGGAGAGCTGTCAGTCACACACACTGTGCATGCTAGTTAGGAAGTATGTAGAGTGTGCCTCTTTTTTTTTTTTTTTTCCTATTTCCTGTGACTTTTCTTTAAGTATTCTATTTTTTTAATGAAAGTGGTTGATTGATGGTTGATTGGTTGAGTGATTTCCATTGTGCTAAGGATTGAACCTGGAACCTCGTGTGTACTAGGCAAGTCCTCTATCACTGAGCTACACTGCCATCCCTGTTTCTGTAATGTTACATGGATGTTACTTTTGGGTGGCGGGGCAGAATGTTCAGAGCTGCAGCAGATTGGCCCCCTGTTCCAAAGAAGGTGATATTAATGCCTGCTTGAACCCAGTGAGATTCTGGTACCCAGGTTTGCAGTGTACAGATTTTAGAATAATCATTTGTGCTATTGCTGTTGGTATGTATGGCATACATACTCTGCTGACAGAAAACCATGTAAAGCATTGAGCCTGACAGAAGACTGACACTTCCTCTCTGTAGAATAAACTAAAACCTCTGTAAAATTACCTTCTGAGATGGTCATTTGTTGGAGCTTACTGAGGCCTGTTGTCCTTTTTAATCCTAACTTGATGGGATTGGGATACACTGAACATTTTGCCAGCAGCCCTTCCTCAGTTCCTTGCCATGGCCTGTATCTCCCCTGAAGCAGACGTCACACTAACACTACAACTATAGTATGCCATCTACTCAAGAAAAGGTAAAAATGTAAGCAAAAAGCACATGAAAGAGAAAGGCACCTTTTAAAAGTCATTCACATTTGGGGAGACTAGAACTCACTAGCTAGACCAGGCTGGCCTCACACTCAGAGACCTGCATGCCTCTGCCTCCCAGGTCCTGAGGTTAAAGGCATGCACAACCTTGCCAGGACTAAATTACTCATTTTATAACAGAAGTTTACGATACTTGGCTAAATGAGAAATGAGTTCAGGGAAGCCTGCCGTAGGTGTCAGTTGTTTAGAAGAAATACTTGCCTGCCCATGAGTGGTTTCCTTTCTTTGCTGATGTCCTTTCTCTGCTCTGTAGGCGACTGAATACGTTAAACAAGTGTGCGGTGATGAAGCTGGAGGTCAGCCCTCACCGGAAACGAGTGAGTACCCGAATTACACAACAGGGTGGGGGCAACAAGCATGCAAACCCAAACAGGACTAGGTGCGCTGTAGAAGGTTCTGCTTGTCTGGTCGAAATGTTAAAACCCATATTTGCAGTCAGCTGAAGGAAATCATCTGTTACTTCCCCCCCCCCAATGAACTCGGTGGGTGCCGTATGATTAAGAACACGAAGTGGGTTGAATTGCAGAGGAATTTCGCATTGCTCCCTGGAGGACATAAAGCTAACATTTTTTAGGAACTCTTCCCGATTCCCGGATGGAACAGTAACTCCATCTCAGAGCTGTCAAGATGAAAGCAAAGGCTGGCTTGAGGGATACTGGAATAGTAGGAGATTTGGTGTGGGGCAGGGAGGAAGGGGCCATGGCAGGAAGTCGCACGCACACACCCACTCTGTTAGTGGTGATGTGAACTGTTTTGTTTTGGTTTTTTTCTGGAAAAGAGCTGTGGGACCTTGGGAAAGGGTGAGTCAATGCTAGGAGTTAGTGTCACAGATTCGGTAAACAGCAATCAATTTGCCCACAGAGCATAGTCCTGACTGTGGAAACTATACATTTTAATTATTCGACAGTCTCTGACATGCACAAAGCTGCCTTCTTCGGTAGTTGAACTTTATAAATGAGTGATGGGAACCTCAGTACCCACTGAACTGGGCAGAGAGTCTCTATTTGGGTGTAGGTGACTGTCTACTCAGTGTCTTAGCAAATTGGGTCTTGATACTGTCACACCAGTGGTAAGGGTAGCTGGCATACGGAGTTGGGTCTTTTCATTACAGTTTTAAGACAGTATTCTGGTGGGACATTCCAGATTGCTGAACATAAGCCAAACATAATCATTTGCCATGCTCCCTAGTGTCTACAAATGCCCTATGCTGGTGACACTCACTGGGCATTCTTGAAGCCCTGTTAAATTTCCTGGAGCATATCTGACATTGAAACTGCCCAGGTCCCTTGTGACAGTAACTGTGAGGGAAAGTACCAGTAAGTGATGACGCAGGGTTGGGCTGCCATGTGATGGCTCACCATGTGGGGGATGTCCTGCCTTTTTATTTATGTATTTATTTATTTATTTATTTATTTATTTATTTATTTATTTATTTTTTAGGCTACCTAGAGCCTTCAGCTGCCATTCTGATGTTTAAAAGAGACTTTTTAAAAATTGCACAAGAGAATATAAACACACTTATCAACAGGCAGCTACACTGGAGACAGTCCAGAGGGAGTCCCACTGCCACTGAGTTCCAGTTCACAATATTTTGCATGCTTGGAATTTTCACCAATCTCAGAGGTCCCCTTTGTGAGCAATTAATGAACAGTCTAAAGACTCAGATTTTCAATAAAATAACTCATTTAGCTGGCAACACTTGGTTGAACTTTCTGTTAAAGTCTTTATATCTGGGCCGGTGAAATGACAATAGGCTAAAGGTGTCTGCTGCCAGGCATGACAACCAAGTTCTGTACCCAGGGCCTACATGGTCGAAGGAGCAAACTCACACTGATCCATAGTCTTCTGAACATGGCACACACCCATAGACATCCTATACACATCCAAATACACCATACACCATACATATCCCTACACATATGTGCAAACACATTCTCTAGATAAAATACAGTTCTAATCAAGTCTTCAAGCCCATCTTTGTTTCTTAAAACCAGTGTGAAGGAAGTGAGTAATAGACACTGGCAGGCAGCATCCTTTGATTAGTGTCCTGTCCCCTGCCATCTGTTTGGCCTGGCACATACCTGGCTTCATTTTGTCTTGCAGAGTGAGGATTCGGATGAAGATGAACCTTGTGCAATAAGTGGCAAGTGGACATTCCAGAGGGACAGCAAGAGGTGGTCCCGGCTTGAAGAGTTTGATGTCTTTTCTCCAAAGCACGATCCAATCCCTGGGTCCCCAGACGACCCTCACTTGCAGAGCGCCACAAGCCACGAGAGCATGCTGACAGACCTCAGCGAGCGCCAGGAGGTGTCTTCTGTCCGAAGCCTCAGCAGCACCAGCAGTGTCCCCACACACGTGCCCCACAGTGGGGATGCTGTGACACCCCGAACGAATTCTGTCATCAGCGTCTGCTCCTCCAGCCACTTTGTAGGCAACGATGACTCTTTCTCCAGCCTCCCTTCCCCCAAGGAACTTTCCAGCTTCAGCTTCAGTATGAAAGGCCACGAGAAAAACACCAAGTCTAAGACACGGAGCCTGCTGAAACGGATGGAGAGCTTGAAACTCAAGGGTTCCCACCACAGCAAGCACAAGGCGCCTTCGAAGCTGGGGTTGATCATCAGTGCTCCCATTCTGCAGGAGGGAATGGATGAGGAGAAGCTGAAGCAACTGAACTGCGTGGAGATCTCAGCCCTCAATGGCAACCACATCAACGTGCCCATGGTACGAAAAAGGAGTGTGTCCAACTCCACCCAGACCAGCAGTAGCAGCAGCCAGTCAGAGACCAGCAGTGCTGTCAGCACACCGAGCCCAGTCACCAGGACACGGAGCCTCAGCACCTGTAACAAGCGGGTGGGCATGTATCTAGAGGGCTTCGACCCTTTCAGTCAGTCCACCTTGAATAGCGTGACGGAACAGAACTATAAGAACCGTGAGAGCTACCCAGAGGACACAGTGTTCTACATTCCGGAAGATCACAAGCCTGGAACATTCCCCAAGGCCCTCTCCAATGGCAGTTTCTGTTCTTCGGGAAGCAGTTCTGTGAACTGGAGGACTGGAAGCTTCCATGGCCCTGGCCACCTCAGCCTACGGAGAGAAAACAGCAGTGACAGTCCTAAGGAACTAAAGAGGCGCAATTCCTCCAGCTCTGTGAGCAGCCGCCTAAGCATCTATGACAATGTGCCGGGCTCCATCCTATATTCCAGCTCAGGGGACCTGGCAGACCTAGAGAATGAGGACATCTTCCCTGAGCTGGATGACATTCTCTACCACGTGAAGGGAATGCAGCGGATAGTCAACCAGTGGTCTGAAAAGTTTTCAGATGAGGGGGACTCAGACTCAGCCCTGGACTCCGTGTCTCCTTGCCCATCATCTCCAAAACAGATACACCTGGATGTGGAACATGACCGAAGGACACCCAGTGACCTGGACAGCACGGGCAACTCCCTCAATGAGCCTGAAGAGCCCACTGACATCCCAGAAAGAAGGGACTCCGGGGTGGGGGCATCCCTGACCAGATGCAAGAGGTAAGGGCCTTACTTCTCTAGACCAAGGTGGGGAATCCAGCATCGTCTGCTTGGTGGGATAAAGTCACAGCCATGTAACCAACCAGGAGACCCCACAATCCAAAAGAAAGGGGATATTGTGTACTAGGTGTAGATCTTTAGTCAAGAAGGATGAAAACTATGGAACTTTGGGGTGGGGGTGTTTGCAGTGTGGTCAGACTTGATGCTACCAAGGGGTATCCATAGAAATGGTTAAAATGGCAAATTGCTTGTTTAGTCAGCCCTCCTACAGTTCCAAATCTTCAGGCTTAGCCAGTTTAGTTGAGAAGTATTTTATCTTCTTGTCATTATTCCCTAAACAACGCAGTATAACAGTGAACTCCCTAACAGAGATCATTTACACTAAATGGGAGGGTGACCCCAATGTGCATAGATGGTGCACATCTTCTGTAAGAGACCTGAGCATGCTGAACCTGAGAGTCTGAGAATGTTCTGGAACGAGCCTTCTGTGGCTATGTAGGAAGGACTGACCGTATTCCTGTGTGGAAACACTAGAAAGTAGCGTAAGTCCTCTTGGTTCCTGAGAAGCCAGCGAGCAGCCTGTTTTATCCCCTACCAAGAAGTGTCCATCTCACTTCTGCCCTGTTCTCTTGCAGGCACAGACTGAGATGGCACAGCTTCCAGAGCTCTCACCGGCCGAGCCTAAACTCTGTATCTCTGCAGATTAACTGTCAGTCTGTGGTCCAGATGAACCTACTACAGAAATACTCACTCCTGAAACTGACAGCCCTGCTGGAAAAATACACGCCTTCCAACAAGCATGGTTTTAGCTGGTAAGAGAATAGAGTATGCAATAAACTGTAACTGTAGGTGATGCCATGCACTCCCAGAGGCTGTCCCAACACTGAGCACCAGGCCACTCTTCTGTCCTTTATCAGTATCTCCAATCTGTCCTCTTTAGGCAGTCTGTCTCCACATCCTTGAGTCTGTATTTTCAATACTTAATGAAGCTCGTGGAGTTCCAGGGAATTAACTGCAGGACTGGTTGGTTGGGTTTTCAGCCCTTTGCATGAAAGATTGCATCCCTGTCATGTCATAGAACACAGGCACCTTCTTTCCAGATATAGGAATAACCCACACCAGGCAAATACATAGGCATTGTCAGGTCATGTTCATGGGAGGAAGGAAGGAAGGAAAACTGGTGAGGTGATGGGAGATATTTATGTGTGCTTTTAGAAGCTTTTTCTTTTAGCAGTTTTGGGAATTGAACTGGGGCCTTCATTCATGCTGAGCATGCACTCCATCAGTCTCATCAGTCTGCTGGTCATGTTTGAATGAACGTTTGCAACATGGCTCAAAGATCTACCTGTGCAGGGCAGGAGAGATGGCTTGGTGGTTAAAAGATCTACCAGTGCTAAAGAGTTTGGTTTTGTTGTTTATTTGAGGGAACGAGGGGGGCTGCCTGGAGAAAATGTTCAGGGAGTAATAAACTTAAATAACTATAAAAATCTTACATATATACTATTTTTGTTTGTTTGGCTCTCTCTCTCTCTCTCTCTCTCTCTCTCTCTCTCTCTGTGTGTGATATTTTGAGACAGACTCTGTCTTACTTTGTAGCTCTGGCTGTCTTGGAACTCACTACGTAGACAACCCTGGCCTCAAACTCACAGAGATTCAATCTGCCTCTACCTCCCAAGTACTAGGATTAAAGCCATGTGCCACTATGCCCACACACACACACCAACAAATATCTTTTAAAGGTTGATTTATTAGACAAACGCTTCATGATTTTGAAAATCCAGCCTTGAGTGTACATTCTAAGATATGGACTGTCAGCGATGGCTGTAGCCTAATATGTGTACATACTGATTTTGTACTCCAGCACAAAGACAAGAACTGTGTCTGAATCCAGGTCTCTGTGTTTTGCAGCGTCACAGGCACCTCAGAATCTCTTCACTCATTGTCCAGTTGTTACGGGAACAGAGATGCAGTCTATTTCATTGGAGCACTCTGTGGCCATCCAAAGTGGCTTGAGATAGTCTGAGGCAAAGTCCACTGTCCTTTCTTCTCTGGCTCCTCTCTCCCAGAGATGCAAAGAGGATGTAGCTGTGGCATCAAAGCCACCCCCACCCCTAGCTAAGGCGGTTACATAAGCCTTGCTAAATACCGAACTTGTTTGTTCTGAATGACAGAAATACGTATTGACCAGTTTATCCCAGAATGCTTCAGATTCTCAGTAGGGGGTGTAATGTGTTCTTCCCACATTCCTCAGCCAGGCTCTTCACCCCCAACAAAGCAAGTATTATGCACACTTCTACCATAGTACCACATGCTTAACTGTATGAAAATATAAATTTAGCTCTACTCTCTGCTCTGGCTTTTCCTTTCCTAGAGCTATCAAGAGTGGCATGTCATGGCTGTGGGCAAACACCCAGAAGTCAAGGCAGTTGGCTTTCTGTGGTGTCCCTCTGTGCTTAGAGTAATATTTTCCTCACTGCTATTTAAAACTGCATATTTCAGATTCTCCATTCAGAGGTGCCCACCCCCTTTCTCACCAAACCCTCAAAAAAAAAAAAAAAAAAAATCTGAAAGTCCACCCTACTACTTCAATTCTGGTCAGTTTTTCCAGTCAGTCAAAACCAAATGTAAAAGCCTGGCATTGTGGAATTGGGACAGCACGGAGCACTTCTGCCCAAAGTCCCTTTCCTGTTCAGCTTTGCCCTTTCTGGCCTCACTCAGAGGGGTCATTTGTGAGCTCAGATGTCCGCCTGATGGCCTTAAATGCCTGACATGGGTTTCCTGCTGTTGCATATATGGCTGGGGGCGGGCCTGCTTTCAGGGAGCCTGGCAGCCTTGGGGAGCCTCACAAAACTCCCATTGTTCCTTTTCCACGTTCCCATAGAAGCCTGAAGATGCTGCCTTCTCTGGGGTCATCAGCCGGGGAATTTATTTTGACTTCAGGTCGTGCCCCATTTGGGCTCCTGTCTTGGTGTGACAAGCCAGTCAGCATTGTGTGTTTGTTGATTTTTATGCCACATTACCCAGATCTCTTTAACCGAATCAGTTCAGATCTCTTGAAGAACCCAGAAAGGATTCATACCCATTTAGGGAAAATGGGAACTCGTTTCTCAAGTTTAGTTTTTTTTTGTTTTTGTTTTTGTTTTTGTTTTGTTTTGTTTTGTTTTTAATCAGAACTACCTAGTAAGATGTTATGTATTTTTGCCTCTTCCTTTCTGCACCATGTAATAGGCTACTAACCCTGAATACACTCAGGAGCAGGCTGGGAAAGTTCATCAGCCCCTCCTAGGACCACAGACTCCTGATCTCAAGATTAACAGGAGTTAACCGGTGCCCCAGATGAGGAAGTTTTGCCAGGTCTTACAACTCCAGCTCTTCAAGTATCTATAACATAACAGTCATGGTGTTGCATGCCTGAAGAAGTTGACACAGGAGGATTGCAATTTCAAGACCATCCTGGGCTATATAGTGAGAAAATGCCTTACAAAGGAATAGGGGAGATGTTAGGGGTATAGCTCAGTAGTAAAATACTTGCTCAGTAGTCATAGGGCTCTGGATTCCTGCATCAAAAGCACTATTCCTCTGTGCACACACCCCAAAAATTCCTAGGACATTTTCCAATAGTGTGGGAGGGGGCATTTTACACTCGAATCATTCATGGTAGCAGCTACTGGATACAAATGACCAGCATGGCCTTTAATGTGGCTAGTCCAACTGAGACACTGTTTGCAAAAAAGGGTGAGTGAAATCAAGCAAATGAATATAGCCCTCACCACCACCACCGTGTTCTTTCAACAGGGCTGTGCCCAAGTTCATGAAAAGGATCAAGGTTCCAGACTACAAGGACCGGAGTGTGTTTGGGGTCCCACTGACGGTGAATGTGCAGCGCTCGGGGCAGCCCCTGCCTCAGAGTATCCAGCAGGCCATGCGTTACCTCCGTAACCATTGTCTGGACCAGGTGAGCATAGCTGCCTGCAGGTTGATCCTGCTCATGGGAACTGAGCTTCGTGCTGCTTTTCTCTAGCTTTGAAGGGAAGGTGTCAGTTGCTTCTGCCCTCATCCCTAATGTTTTTCTTCCAAAGGTTGGGCTCTTCCGAAAATCAGGTGTCAAATCCAGGATTCAGGCGCTACGACAGATGAATGAAGGTGCTGAAGATTATGTCAACTACGAAGGCCAGTCTGCTTACGATGTGGCAGACATGCTAAAGCAATATTTTCGAGATCTTCCTGAGCCCCTCATGACGAACAAACTCTCAGAAACCTTCCTACAGATCTACCAATGTAAGCATTTTTGGATCTCCTTAAGACTGTTCATGCTGGGTTTAGCATCACTGAAACACTCAGCCTCTTTTCATGTCATTCTTTCACCAAGAAAAACCTGCATGGGGGACCCTCTAAATACATAAGTTACCAGTTTCTTTCTTCCTTGCCTGTGGCATAGGTTTGTGTATACTTACTGAATAATTTGAAAAGTAATTTTTGTGGCCTGGGAATGTGTTGGCAGAGTGATTGCCTAGCACTCGCGGAACACTGGGTTTGCTCCCTGGCACCACAGAAACCAGGAATGGTGGTGCACACCTGTAATCCTAGTACTTGGGAGGTGAAGATGAGAGGGTCAGAAGTTCAAGGCCATCTTTGCTACATGCTGAATTTGAAGGCTACCTGGGTTCCATGAGACCTTGTCTTAAAAAGAAAGGAAATAAATGTTGCTGATTAGTCTGTAAGTGCTGAAGCAGTTGTACATCTTCACAGTCAAGTCCTGTATCCTCTCTCATTTGTCTAGAGCAGTGTGATGTAGATGCTGAAAAGTAGGGTACCGAAACTGTATGCCTGCCCTCTGATGCCCCTTCTCCCTCCCTCTCCCTCCCCCCACTTTTCCACTCCCCCCTCTTTTTCTCTCTCTCTCCCCTTTCTCCCCCCCATTCCTCCCTTCCACCCACCTCTCATTCTCTTCCTTCCTCCCTTGTCTATAGACTTATCATTTACTTTACACCTCTCACAGGGCTGTTGAGTTTAAAATTTCTCTAGTGTCTATGTGTTTTATCTCACTAGAAAATGAATAAATAGTTTTTTTCCGTTATTCATCACAGTCCCTTCCAGACATACCTGTGAAAACAATATGCATGTCCTCCTCACTTTCAAGCACAGCTTAAAGCAAACAGTTGTGGAAATAAATGATCAAGATCAGAATCGTGGCTTTCACAGCCTTGTATTTTTCTTGGCTCAGGTGGCCTTAGTGCAGTGTGATTTAAAAGCAGCTCTGCACAGCTGAAATGGTCTTTAGCACTGACGTATTGAGCTTCATTTTATGAGAAACGGAGCTGGTCTGGTCTGGACTGTTTCATTATTTGTTTCGTCCTTTCATATTTTATGAAAACACAGGTCACATTTTCCCCCCTCGAGGTATTTGTTATGCATTGTAACCATGGAGCTGTTTAATCAGTTTGTCTTATGGCCCTACATTTAAGTGACTTGATTTTTCCACCACATGCTTTTAAAAAATTTAAGTTTGCCTGGCGAATAAGACTGGAAGGCTGGGCACAGACTCACTGCAGTGTCAACTCTTCTATAGGCTTATGTGCATTTTTATACATTTTGCCTCTTGGTGTTCTTTCTCAACCTTAAGTTATTGTTTGAAATTTGTCTACTTAAATTGACATCATATTTTAACAGCCTTTCCTATTTTAAGGATGAGCAAATGGGTCAAAACTGGTCCTCAAAGATTCTGAACCTTTTATAGCCAGCTGAGCGATCTCTGTTCTTAACTTCTTACATGAGTCTCACATAAACTTTTTATTGAAACTACACAAAATCTTAAACGTAGAGCGATTTCAATAATTATGATGGCAAATTAGAATTTTTTTAAAGTGCTTAGAAGAAACATTTCTGTACACTACAAGAACTTATCATCTGGGGCCAAACTCTGAGGTCGATTTTTAGAGTATGTTAGCACTGTGGGTGTTTAAAATGTTTCAACGCCCCCACAAGGCAGGAAATACTTGAGGGTAGTGACGCCCGTGGCAGCCCATAATTTCTTCCTTATTAATCTTTAGTATGCTTTCTGCAAGTGCTTGTTCAGTGTTTGATGCCGATGTTTGCTTTGGGATTCGGACTTGCCATGTATGTGGAAAATCACTGAGCTGATGGCGAGAATGCTTGTGCCTTGCAGATGTGCCCAAGGACCAGCGCCTCCAAGCTATCAAGGCAGCCATTATGCTCCTGCCTGACGAGAACCGGGAAGTTCTCCAGACGCTTCTCTACTTCCTGAGCGACGTCACAGCGGCCGTGAAGGAAAACCAGATGACTCCCACCAACCTGGCTGTGTGCTTAGCCCCTTCTCTCTTCCACCTCAACACCCTGAAGAGAGAGAATTCTTCCCCAAGGTACAGATCAGACACAAGGAGCATGGCCAGGCCCTGTTCTTGAAAGGCATCTCTCACTTCCCGGCAGGGCTGTGTCCCTGTGTTCTTGTTGGATTCTTACCTGAACCGAGCAAAGGTGGTTAGTCCTGGGATTAGGCCCTCGTGTGTTACTGTGACAGATTGCCTGACACAACTTATGGGAGTGAAGGTTGACTTTGCTCATGGTTTCAGAGGATTCTGCCTGTGGTTGGTTGGCCCCATGTCTTAGGTAGGACTTCACAGGGCAGCAGGACCTTTGTTTCATGGCAGCCTGATCACAGAGAGAAAGAGGGGGACAGAGACAAAATACCCAGGGACCTGCCTGCAGTGACCTATTTTCTCCAGCTGCATCCTATCTTGGGCATCAGTTTTCCGGAATGTGAACTGCTTGGGAGCATTTCCTGCCCAGGCTCCTTTCATTCTCAGCTCACAGAGCAGCCCTGTGCCTCTCTGTCTTCTTTGGTAGCATTCCTTTCTAAAAGCAGTCTTTTAAGAGGAGGGGCCCTGAGCACTATGGGTATGTGCTTTGGCGTGTCCAGTGTTTAAGGCAAATCAAACAGTGTCATTTCCATTCTCCCAGCCAACAGTCTTGCAGACCTACTGGCCTAAATGGCCTGGAGTGGGAGCTGCTTGGAGTAGGGACAGATGGTATCCCCAGTACCTTAGCCTCTGTGGGACCAGGAAAGACATATTTCTGGTCTGTGCCTGAGAGGCTACAAAGGACAAAGGTTATTATTAAACCTCAGAGTGGCTCCTACTTAACATATGGCCTAATCCGATTATTGGCAAACATTTCTGCCTAGAATACAAGTACACAAGGTGAGAGTAGCTGTGGAAAAATTGGAGGAATCTCGGTGCTTAGTAAGGCTGATGCTTGCCTGGGACTTACTCCATACCAGGCACAAGGCCTTTTCTTCGCATTGATCTTCTTTTGTCATAACAATCACAGGAGATAGACAAAGGGACAAGGGTCATTTTTTTCCCCAAGAATAAATTGAAGTTTTGGAAGGAAGAAAGAACAGATCTGGTTTGCACTTCTTACATGAATAGTAAGAAGTGCATGGTAAGATCACCCCTCCAGCACAGGAAGATAGGGTGACTGGCTGGATGGACTCAACACATCTGCTTTTATCCAGCCCTAGGAAGCTGAAAAACGTTTCTCAGCTTGATGCATTTAAGTCATTGGGCCTGGAAGCCATGCAATACTTAAGTAGCCTTTTAACTAGTGTTAAAAGTTGTTGGGACATTCCAACTTTAATGGGATAGAAAACTACAGGAGATGAGCAGAAGAGGGGCCAGATAAGATTAAGACCAAACATCTAGAAAACAATAGTTATCCCCCACCTGTGTAGGGGATCCTGTTTACTTAGCCTGTAAGGATAGCAATACCATCTACCCCTGCTCCAAGTGGCTCCCACCTTGTTTCCTATAGAAGCTGCCTCAGTCCCCAGCAAATACAAGTTCTTGTGAATTACTTTAGTAAAACATCTTTAAATGGCCTGGATAGCTAACCAAAACATGTCTTTGTGTTTTGTATTGGGTTTTTAATAAAACGACGAGAAACTGTGCTAAACAAAACAGAAGCTGTTTTGAACCACTTAACCCACTTATCCAAACCCTTTATTTCTTTTCCCTAGGGTCATGCAAAGAAAACAGAGTTTGGGGAAACCAGACCAGAGAGATCTGAATGAAAACCTAGCTGCCACGCAAGGGCTGGCCCACATGATTGCTGAATGCAAGAAGCTCTTCCAGGTATCAGTCCGGAAGCTTGGCTGCTATGCTAAGGATAATGTGGATGGGCTTGGGGCTTGTTGTCATCTGAGTAAAGGTCTTCCCCATAATAGGAGATTATGTACATAGGCTGAGAATGTCACACACACACAGACACTCACTCACTCACTCATGTGTGCTCTCTCTCACTTACACACAGGAGCTATTTATAAGTATTTAGGTAGATATGTGTATATACACTCATTGCAGTTAATGTTTTGTGAAATTGTTGACCTTTTACTTGAAAGTAAAAACAGAGTTCAAGGCCAGCCTGGTCTACGGAGCTAGCTCCAAAATAGCGAGGGCCACACAAGAGAAACCCTGTCTTGTGGGATCTGGAATTAAACTTCTGTCTGAGAAACCTGCTTTGATCCATGTTGTAATTACCCTGTTGTAATTACCCTCCATTGTCTCACAGGAGCAGGAGTGGGCTGCCAGCTTGAGTCTGACCATTGCTTCTGCCCTTTACTGAGGCTGTGGCAGACCCATAACCTTGTCTTGCATGTTTCTCCCAGGTTCCCGAGGAAATGAGCCGATGTCGCAACTCTTACACTGAACAAGAGCTTAAGCCTCTCACACTGGAGGCCTTGGGACACTTGAGTAGTGATCAGCCTGCTGACTACAGACACTTTCTCCAGGACTGTGTGGATGGCCTGTTTAAGGAGGTCAAAGAAAAGTTCAAAGGCTGGGTCAGCTACCCTACTTCTGAACAGGCCGAGCTGTCCTATAAGAAGGTCCGTTTTCTCCCTGTTCATTCCCGTGGTCATGACATGAGACTGCCCAGTTGTGTTCTCTGTAGGGATTCCTACCCCAGACCTGTCATTGAGAACTGGCCCTGTGATTGAGATTCCCTGGGTAACGGACATCTGTCTCAGAGGGATGAACACGAGCATGGGGGAAATCATATTCTGCCTGTGAAGCAGCTCCTACCTGCCACAGAATCATCGTAGACTAACCTGACTCACTAGTGTTGCTGGGCTTTCACGGGGCCTCTCAGGACATGCTTACATTTTTTTTCTATACTCTAAAGAAAATAGTTTTTCACTCCCATGTGTTCCTAGTCACTGTCTGGGGCATCCTTTGTATCTCATCTTAATGTCCATCAACATGTTTGTCAACACTGCCTCCACCACCTTAAAAATAAAGTGGTCAAATAAATGAAATAAATGAATCTATCCCAATCATTCTGATATGAGCCCCAGGAGACAGAAGTTATGGCTCTGACCACAGTTGGCACTATTTTGTTTGCACTCCAAGCCTGCTCTTGAGTGTATTCAGGGCTAGTAGCCTATTAACTTCATAAATGTATCAATCAGCCTCAGAACAGGGGGCCACATTCCCCGCTCAGAATTTGCTTTCAGAATCAAAGTGTATGTTTTTGCTGAGCACCAAAAACCACACATCTGCTTTGCAGGTCAGTGAAGGACCCCCGCTAAGGCTTTGGAGGTCAACCATTGAAGTCCCTGCGACACCTGAGGAGATCTTAAAACGCCTTCTGAAAGAGCAGCACCTTTGGGACATGGACCTGCTGGACTCTAAGGTGATAGAAACCCTGGACAGCCAGACTGAAGTCTACCAGTACGTTCAAAACAGCATGGCACCTCACCCTGCTCGGGACTACGTTGTGTTGAGGTGAGAGCCTCCAAATTGATGTGACCATGGCATAGAGAGCTACACATTAAGACTGAGCCCGTGTGTCACTCAAACTTACAGTATGGTTATGTTATTTAAAAGGGGTTATAGATGTCAGGGAAAGTACTGAGTGATTTCAAAGCACATTTATGTTTATTCCAACAGGCTGCTTCACTGAGTCGAGCTTTACCTCTTGGAACTGAGCTCCAATGGGGAAGAGCCTTTCAAATGCATGTGCGCCATGGGGCTAGATTTCTTCCCCATTGCCTGTAGATACTCTGGTTAGAAACAGATGGACCAGGAGGTAGCATTTAGTCCCAAGTGAGATGTGATTAAGGCTGACTTATATGTAATTCCCAAGTCTTCTGAGGCTATTGAGGGAGCAGTTTCAAAAAGCTTTGAGGGACTGTCACATTATTCTTCCAGAGTTGGTCACTGCTTGTTTGATGTCCACATCCTGAGACATTCATGAAATGTGGAAGGGGTTAAAAAGAAAACACTTCAAACTGGCTCTTTTCCAAAAAGGGACTGGGTGACTGAGCATTTACACCCCAAGTAGAGGTGGCCCTGTACCAGCTGAGTCCATGTGCAGTGACTGGGAGGGTCCCAGGAGGGAGGTGCCATTTTCAACCTGGCTTCTGAGAAGTTCCATTCCCCCTCTGGTTTTGTCTCCACAGGACCTGGAGGACTAACTTACCCCGGGGAGCCTGTGCCCTCTTACTCACCTCTGTGGATCACGACCGGGCACCCGTGGTGGGGGTGAGGGTTAACGTGCTCCTGTCCAGATATTTGATGGAACCCTGCGGGTCAGGAAAATCCAAACTCACCTACATGTGCCGAGCTGATTTAAGGTACATTTTGATTCTGACCTTCCGACGTGGGGGGGTGGGGGTACAGAAGATGCAGATTTGCCATATGATGGCCAGTGTGGCAAAATGAATCTATTACTGTGTTTTGGAAACTTTCTGAAGAGTGGTGCTAATAAAGCAATACCACGATGATGCTTGTGTCCTTTTGGATACTGCTTTCAATCCATATTCCTTTGGAGATGGGCTACGAAAGCAGTGTGCATTTTGTAGTTTTATCACAAATTTAAAACCATGGGAACGTGTATATTTTATATTGAGCCAACAAGTAGATTTTTCCTGTTTCATATTGGAAGGTGTTTTAACAGTGCAGGTCTGTAGTTGATTATGCCTCTCTCTGCTTGTGCAGTAAATGAATGTGATTCATCAGCAACAAGCACACCCAAAGTCAACTAGCGAATGCTCTTTTCTGAAATAATTTTCCTTTGTAGGAGTCAGTTACCGATGCGAGGCATTTCTGTGGTACACGCCAAGGCTTCCTCTAAGCAACGCTATGCTATCAATGTTGTCTCTTGGAAACTTTCTGGTCCTAGGTGTGTAACAGACATGCCTGGGGGTTGTCTGCAGACAAAAGGTCATCTTTACTTCCACGTGTCGTTCACCAAGGAGTGGAAGTAGGCATAGCAGCCCTTGGGAGGCTGAGGCAGGATCATCACTGTGTTTAAGGCTCTATGGAGATACTGTGTCAAAGAAAGAAATGGAAGTCGGAACCTTTGGAGCTCAGTAGTGAAGCATTTCCCTGAGCACAGTCCTCATAGTTCAGATTTTTAAAGAGAGAGAGAGTATTCCAGACTGCCTTTATCACTTCTCAGCTCTTTCTGATTGAAATAACTTACCAGTTTTTCTTTCGTGTGACAGGGGCCACATGCCGGAGTGGTACACAAAATCTTTTGGACATTTGTGTGCAGCTGAAGTGGTAAAGATCCGGGACTCCTTCAGTAATCAGAACACTGAAACCAAGGATAACAAATCTAGGTGATCACTGAGGCGAAGCACCTGCGTCTACTGCCTGGGTGATTGTTTCTAGAGCCTTGCCAGTCCACGGAGGAGTCCATCTGGGTCTCATTGACTATAGCAATTTGAGGAGAATTTTTTTTAAAGCTGCTTCCTGTTTGTCTTAGGTCTATGTCATAGACCTTGACTGGATTATATAAGACTTGGGGCATGGGGCCGGGGTGTACTTGTATTATTCAGATTGCTTCTGAGAAGCAAGAACTCTTTCAGTGCATAACAGAAGATGGTGGAGAGGACGTCATTCTCTCGTGACGTCAGCGCATGTGTACCTATGTCGTTTGTTTGCAGTGTGTTGAGGGACTGACGTATCCACTGGAATAGTTGGTACTCGTTGGCAGGTTTTGTCCCTGGGATGAGCAGAGAACGGTTTGCCCAGAGAAGTGTGAATGTGTGTGTTGCTGGCTGAGTGGCACAGATGGAGAGATGGGATGCAGTGTCTGGCACACTGAGATGCTCCACAGAAGATGCTGATTCATACACCAGGTTTAGCTCCGCCTGGAATAGCCGACTACCCAGGGATCTACCCAGAAGGGGAACGCAGCTAGCTCCCTTCTCCCTTTCCCTCCAGGTTATTGTGGCGTTGTTTGGGAGGGGTTGGTTTTTTTCGGTGTTTTGTTTTGTTACTTTCCTTTTCTTCAAACCTTTGCTTTCCCATAAACTGTAGTTTCCTATGATTGTAGTAATGTAACCATCAAGACTAAGAAGCTCTCTCTCCACTCCCTTGACTGGCTCCAAAGGAAGGTTTTATTTACGTGAGATGTAAAGGCCTAATGCTAACATCCAAAAGCAAAGTACCAAAACTTTTTTTTTTTTATTTCTGGGACTGGGAGTTGAACCCAGGGCCTTTTATATGCCAGGCAAGCACTCTACAGTGGACTTTATCCCCAGCTCTGTTTTGACCTTTTATTTTGAGACAGGATCTCACCACGTTGCCCAGGCTGGTCTTGAACAACTAACTCACCATGTAGCTGAGGCGCCTATCTCAGTCTGTGTAATAACTGGGATAAGAGGTGTTCATTGACACTTTTTACCTGTTATAATTCATAATATTTTCATGCTTGTGATGTAAACTCTAAGATAAACCAGGGAACACAGGGATATATGTCCCCAGTAGAGTTAACCCAAGTACTAGAGGCTTTTGATTATTGGTGTTCCCAGTGTTCCAGACAGCTATGTGTGTGTATTTTCATTGGGTTTGTCCTCGTGCACAAATAGGTTTTCTGACTATTTGTTATTTTTCCTCCATTTCTTTTTTTCTTTTCTCTCATAACAATGCCCTTGAACTGTATTTTCATAATAATGGGGGGTAGAAATCTCAGTGAAAAACAGATAGTGCAGGTGTTTGGAAGGGTGATCTTTATACAGGTTTTACTGTAATGGTAAAGATTGACTCGAGACAGTATTAGTAAATTTATTTTGTATGGATCAAAAAGTGAGTCATATGAATGAGAGTCGAAGAAGGATTTTTATTTTGTTATAACTTAGTTACCTTGTCAGTATTATTTCAGAAATTCTTTGAAGAATGGGGGGTGGGGTCAGAGTAGAGTTTTAAAATTTGAGTATTTGAATTATCAGTGTTGCTTGTGAAGACGTGCGTGTATATTCAATTTCATTGGCTTCTGGATCTGTAAGATTGTATGCTGTATATACCATTCTATTGAGAAACGTGTACACATGTCTGTCCACTGTGCTTTCAGACATAGATAAAGCATGATAAAGATTATTATTTAAAATATACTTGTATTTATACCTCAGATATTCTTTTGGGTTTTGTACCTCAAGGTTCCCCTCTACGCATTGTAAATACACTTTACGTGAATACAGTTTTAGTGAAAAAAAAAAAGAGTAAATAAAGGAAGAGGTTTATAATTTGCCCTATATCTGTACAGAGTATATTCAGTAAATGCACTATTAAATGTTTAAGGGGAAGAGTCTGGTCTGCTTTCTGCATTGCATCTTCCTCCGTCCTTAGAAGCAGGGATTGCAAAGCAGAGCCGCCCAGTGCCAACTGAAATCCAAAGATACATCGGCTGAAAGAAAAATCGGATGACGAATTATTCCAAGGCCAAGCTGCGACTGAGCCACTCACCCACAAACAGGAAACCCTGGTGAAGGTTCAGGAAGCCTGGAGATTTTCTCCACACCAAGGTCTGACACGATGCTGAGAATTTACGAGAACGGAGCAACAGCAATGGAACAATTCTTAGAAGCAAAGTCAAGGTCACTGATTAATCCACAAAAGGTCTCTTTCCCATGTTGAACTTTCCTGTTGAAGGGATTCCTTACGTCTGGCCAGAGAAGAATTCAGAGTGCCTCGGGACTGTGTAAGAACTAGGCTTACATTATGTAACATCCCACAACTTGTCCATTTGAGTCTTGGGCTAGATTGTGAGTTCTTCAAGGGCAGGCGCATCTCCTGCACACCTTTATAACCCTCTGCAACAGCTTTCAGTGTTTTGTACTTGTAGACACCTAATAAATTTATCATTTGCTAAATAACACTGATAGAATTTGCTTCTGTTATTTTTAAGAAAAGAAAATCTAACATTGTCAACCTTAAACTCTTCCCTTCCTCGTTTTCATTGCTTTTTTTATTATTATTTTTAACATTTTGGTTCACATGGGGGTCTTTCTACAAAGTCTGGGCTAGCCTCAAACTCAGTATGTATTCTAGACTGGCCTTGAACTCACAGCCTTCTTGCCTCAGTCTCTTGATGCCTAAAATTACAAGCCTGTGCCACCATGCCCAGATGCTTCCCACTTGGAAAGTGCAGTGAGCAGTGATAAGGAAAGATGGTAAATTCTCTGCATGTTGATTTTAAAAGTTCTTTGTCAATCCCGGTGTGATGGGACAGGCCTTTAATCCTAGCACTAGGGAGGCAGGGGCAGGTAGGTCTCTGAATTTGATGCCAGCCTGGTTTATGTAGTGATTTGTAGGAGAGCCAAAGCTAAATAATAGACACTGTGTCACACACACACACACACACACACACACACACACACACACACACACACACACACACGTTTCTTTGTCAGGAATCTTTTCTTTGTTCTGGGCATTAAAGTCAGGGCCTCACACATACTGGACAGGCATGTTCTACCACTAAACTACACTTGCAACCCTTCTGGTGGACTTTTTACCAGTTTCCTATCTTTACATGAAGTCCATCTACAAGAGGTTTGATTTTTGTCAGTGTTTCTTGAGCCATAGAAAACAGGAAACCTCTAAATTTTCTAAAAGGCCAAATTAACACTATTTTCTTGTCTGTCTGCAGACAGCGATACAAAATAATCGTCTTGAACCAGAATCTCTGTATCTATATTGTCTGAAGAGTCTAGAATCCCCAAGTTTCCAGCAGGTTCTATACACAGTGCCACCAACATTAGTTCACATGCCTCAGCTGTGGATTTAGATTGCTTTTGTTACATCATGCATCTGTAGCAAAAATGAAATGTGATTCTCACTGCTCAGACTGAAGACAGCCTTAAGCAAAGCTAGCTCACCCTGCCCCATGCTCTTAAAACTGACTTTGCATCCTGTCTTTCTTTTTAAGATAAAACTACATATCCCAGCTGACCTCAAACTTGATTCGTTTAGACTGACCTTGAATTTCCATTCCTCCTGCTTCCTCCAAACGCAGGGATCACAGGCATACACCACCATGCCCAAGGGTCACAGGCATACACCACTGTGTTAAAAGGTGAACCCAGAGCCCTATGCATGCTAGGCAAGTGCTCTACTAACTGACTTATTCCCTCAGACATTTAAAGTAGAAACAATGCCATTAGTGAGTAGTAAGAGCTCTGTATTCACTCAGGAAGAGTTAGTTGAGGTGGTCACCAAATAAAGCTCTTAATCCCCAGGCTTGCTACCTACCAGTTTTTTGTTTTGGGGAGGTGTATTACTATTATTAGATTTATTTTACATGTGTGAATGTTTTTCGTGCATGTGTGTGTATGTACTTTGTGTGTGCCTGATGCCCATGGAGTTCAGAACACAGATGTCAGATTTCCTGAAACTGGAATTAGGGATGTTTGTGAGTCAACATGTGGGGTCTAGGAATGGAACCCTGGTCCTCTGCAAGAGCAACAGATGTTCTTAACTGCTGAGCCATCTCCATAACTCACTACCTACCAATTTTAGATGAGAATGATGGAAATGCCTTCTTAAAAACTGAATGAAACTTTTAATGTTCTTTTCTATATTTTGAAGTATTTATTTTATGAGTGTGTGTATTTATTTTAGGTGTACCGCATAAATACAGATACTAATGGAGGCCAGAAGAGAGCATTAGAGTCTTTAGAAATGGAGTTCCAGGCAGTTCTCAGCTCAGAAAAATTGAGAAACCAATAGCTCTAAGACAATGTTTTCTAACAAGGTGTGTATGATTTTTAATGCCATACACGTGTGTTTGCACTGCCTTTGTCCATTTTTCCAGCACTTACCTAAGCCTCACACATATCTTTCGAGGCATAGCCATTTGACTAGGTTGGATGTGGCTAAAAGAGGGTTAGTGATAAAGTTCCCAGACCTGGGTGGTCAAAATGTGATCACAGCTCAGGCCCCATCCCCCAGCATACCTGCTGTTGGCTCATCTTTCTTTAACTCTCAGAGCCAATCTACAATTATTTCTGCCCTGGAAACAGAATGAACCAAGATAAACTGTAAGTGAAACAGCTGTTAGCTTCCCAAGGAAACTGCTCCCTTGTCATTCCACCCCCAAAAGATCAAAGGGGCTAAATAGGTCAGGAGAGATAGAAGGCAGCATTTATTTTGATGACTGGTGAAATAACTATCCAGCAAACCAAATAAATGATTTCAAATGTACTAAGATTTTACTTATCCTCCTTGTGTAACATAGAAGGGCATGACTCCCAGTTTGCACACAAACATCTTCCAATTGCAACTCAGCAGTTGCATTGTTTGATGGTACAAGGGAACATCTATTTTCTTAGCCTGTATCCAAGAACCACGGTTTTGTTTTTTTAATTCTTTCTGCAATACCCTATTTCTCCCTTACCATCGTGCAAGAGCTCTGTGTGCTGTTGTGGAGATGGCTGTACAGGTGCTTTCAAAACCAAGGGCTAGTTGTGAGAGTGGAATAGCATTGCGTCCCAGCAGTTTATCTGGCCTGCCTGTGGAAGCACACAGGAGTACTTACAAACTAGAAATCCTGAGGAATGAGATCACAGCATGCGTGTCAGTTTGGTGTTCCATCAGGATGAAATTTACCTAAGGAATTTAAATTCCATTTCTTTGAGGAATGCAAATTACAAAAGCCCTCAAAGAGCCGGGTGGCAGGAGTAACTCAGGTAGGTAGGTCTGTCTGCCCTGCACAATTATAGTTAGTCCAGGCCCATTCTTTAGAGTGGGAGGGGAGGATTTGTAAAATCATGTTAGCAGCTGCAGCCCAGAGTAATTAGTGTCCTTGTGTGCACAGGTCCCCGGAGAGCAGCCAGTCTGCCTGTATGGGCCCAAAACTGTATTGACACCCACAAGGGACCTCTCTGCAGAGATTTCTCATGTCATTGGACTTTAAAAGGGGAGGGGGCGGAGCTACTCTCACATGGGCTCCTGGTCTCCTTCCCAGTTAAGATATGAATGATCTTGGAAAGGTGTTCTATACTATTCTTTGACTCTAAGAAAGCTTTATCAGTTACTAAGAGTGACTTGGAGCTGGAGAGGTGGCTCAGCACTTAAGAGCTCTGGTTGTTCTTCCAGAGGACCCAGGTTCAATTCCCAGCACTCACATGGCCGTTCACAACTCTCTGTAACTCCAGTTCCAGGGGATATGGTGCCCTCACAGAGGCATACATGCAGGTAAAACACCAGTGCACATAAAATTTAAAAAGAAAAGAAAGATAAAAATCATTTTAAAAAGAGTGACTTGTTCACATAAACTGCTTGATTCCCAAAGAGATTGGTTCAGAAAGATTTAAACCACGACTTCCCGCCCCCAAGCTGGGCTCCTCAAGTCGCAAACATGCTGGGTAAGTGTACTATCATTAAATTAAACCTCTAGCTCTTTTATGAGTTCTTTTAACTACCTCAAGATCCAGCAATTCCTCTCTTGGGCATATACCCAAATAATATACCTTCATACAACAAGGACATATGTTCAACCATGTTCATAGCAACCTTTGCAAGGAGAGGGGGGGGGGGGGGACACTCAGGTCATGTGTCTAAGTTAAGCAATAAGACAAATATATTATGTCAAGATAATATGTCACTTCAGTCACAGAGAAGTCCTTTGGAAGAGAATTTGTAGCCTCATTTTACAGATTCAAAAGTCTGAAGTAATGACTGGTGAGACAGCTCAGTGGTTAAAAGCATTTTCTGTACAGGCAAAAGACCCGGGTTTGGTTCCCAGCAGCCTAGTAGTGCCACCCAGAACCTCTTGTACACTCTAGGTCTAGGTGACGTGACACCATATTCTGGCCTCTAAAGATACCTGCACACACATAAGGAGCAAGAACTCCTGAGCTAATTGGGAGCATGAGGGTAGGGGAGAGGGAGCTGCCAGAATGTGAGGATGAGAATAACACACACACACACACACACACACACACACACACACACACACGCGTGAATATAAAAATTTTAAACTAAATTTAGTTTTTTTTTCAGTTTTTTTGTTTGTTTGTTTCATCTCATCACTTCTCCCCATAATAATCCTCCTGGTCAAACAAAGAGAATAAAGAAAAGATAATGTAGCAAATATCCATAAAATTCTAATTGGCCACAGTTTATGCCAGATGACACCCACTCAACACTGTGCAAACCACAGGGCCATGTCATCCAGCCTGGGGCTCTGGGGTTCTAAAGGCTTGGGTTAGTTGACCTCTTTGCTATTAGTGTATCAGCATAACTTCAGACCAGAGATAAAGATGTAGTTGATCTGAAGGAATGCCCAATAATCCAGATCATTCTTCTTGGCTTGGAGCAAGCAAAACGGCCCTCAGATGTACCATGCAATCCATACCCCACAATAGTCCTTCAAGAACTGTGCCTGTGTGCTCAGTTATTTGTGTTGAGCACCAGTGCTTGCTCTGGTGTTGAGACTGGCCAACAGCAGCAACAGATCTCACGGATGTCTTCAGTGACATGAGGTGCTTTGTTTGTTTGTACTTTATGTGTATGTGCGGCTGTCTGGTGGGGAGGGATGGTATGCACACATGAGTGCATGTGCAGGCAGAGGCCAGAAGGGGGCATCAGATCTTCTGGGGCTGGAATTACAGGAGGATGCAAGCCATCCAGCATAGGTGCTGAAAACTAGTTCTCTGGAAGAGTGGCACATCTCTTAACCTCTAAACCATCTCTCTAACCCAAGACGAGTTCCTAATTGCACTGCTAATGTCCTGTGAAAAGCCATAAAGACTTACTTCCAGGGGTAGAGCACTACTAACAGGAAGGAGTGGAAATTTTCAAAGGTGGAGCCTAGTAGGAGATTTTAGGTTTTAGAGAACAGAAAAGTATGGGGCACCAGATCCCACTTATTTA